TTGATCTCACGTAAGCTATATAATGTGTTTTGATGGTTTATGGGTCTTAAAAATGATAATTAAATCTTTTTATGAATCCCAACATATTATTTTCCTTGTGAATTGTGGTATTCACATAATCTACATATGTCAACTTCGAGTCAAGAATTACTCCTAAGTCCCTTATTTTATCGCAGCTGGTTTCCTAGAGTACGTGTAAAATCTAGAGTAGTGTGTTTGCCGGAATAAGATATAATATTGCATTTTTTAACTTTAATATCCAGCAGACTTTTAACGCACCAATTGTAGAAAACATCAATTACATTTTTTAAATGTAGCAAATCAGAATTGTTAAAGATTTCCAAGTACAGTTTCATATCGTCAGCATATATGAGCACATTTAAGCGATTCAACACAAACTTCACGTCATCCACAAATAAAATAAATAATAAAGGACCTAAATGAGATCCCTGTGGAACTCCCGAGGTAACATTAACTGGCGAGGACATTTTTCCTTTAAAATGGACCATCTGTATTCTTTCTGTCAAGTATGATCCAATCCATTTTAAAAGTGTACTTGTCATTCCTAAACGTTTTAATTTAAAAAGAAGTAAGGGAATATCTCCTCTGTCAAATGCCTTACTAAAGTCAGTGTATAAGGTTTCAACGGTATTACCTCTATCCATTGCTTCAATAGAAAAGTTTACAAATTCCAACAAATTAGTAGACGTTGACCGACCTTTAAAATGCAATGCTTAACCTGGTTAAATATTTTCTGGTTAACAATTGCTTCAAAAATTTTAAGAATGCATGACATAATTGCAATACCTCTATAATTTTTAATGTCTGACCGTTTGCCAGATTTAAATATTTTATAAATTGTGAAGCCAAAACAATGGTTTAACAAAACTAGTTGCTATTTTTTTCAATAAAAATTGAGGTATTTCATCAGGACCAGGTCCTTTGCTGGCATCGAGACTTTCAAGAGTCATAAAAATTTCTTTAACAGTGATATTATTAACTGATACGCCATTTTACCCTACAGGTAGGTAAGAAAAATAGTTCAAATCGAGAGCATTACTGGATTTCTTATATATGTTGGGAATATGTGATGGGAATGTACATGACTTCATTTTTCGTTCGTGAAATTAAAGAACGTTTTGGGATCAGATTTTATATTGTTATCTACTCTTGAATTGTTATTCTCATATGCTGACAATATTTCTGCCTTAAGTGCTCCGCAAATTTCAACGTATTTTTCTAAATTTTGTGAAGTTTTAAACTTTTTATGCGACTTGTGTGCTTTTTGCTTCCTGTTTTTAATATTTCTGATTTCTTGTGTATACCACATAGGATATTTTGTTCTGTTCATTATTCTCTTTAGTCTTTTAGGAACGAATACTTCAATGATATTGAATAAGTTAGTATAAAATATGTCAACAGCCTTGTCAATACCGTTTTCATATTTTAAAAGGTTCTGCCAATTTATGTTATTCAGTCTGCTGTGAAATTCAGGAACAATTGCTTTTTTAAAATCACAAACTAATCCAAAATCAACAACGCTTGGGCGTGGAATTGCTGCTTCTACAATTCAAAAATCTTCTATACAATTAGTAAACATAAAATCTGCTGGTTACGAACATGGTTAATTTGATGAAGTCCTAAGTGGGTGCTTTTATCAAAGACGAATTGTAAAGTATCGTTTGCACCTACAATTGGTAACAGCAGAGAATCATTATCACTATCCTGTATTAAATTAACTGTATTCTGGTTAAAATATCCATCAATATGAATTTTGGTTCTTGGATCTTCTCTTTGAATTTTCAGTTCTGCATTAGTGAAAAACTTTTCGTAAGCTGGTTTTTTTTTTTGGAAAAGTATGGAGGAAAGTAGACAGAAGCGAAAAGATGTTCTTCATTGTTTATTAAAATTTTAACCCACACATCTTCAAATTCTTTTTGCCTTTCACTAGCAATTTGTTCAGCTTGAAATGTAGCATTCACAGCAATAAGTACACCACCACCTTATTTTTTACCTGGTAATGATAAATCGCGGTCACATCGAAAAACACTAAATTTACTACCAAAGACCTCTTCGCTATTAATACTGTCAGACCAACTAGTTTCTGGTCCAATTATTATATCATATCATATTTTATTTTGAATTTCATTTATTTTATACGCACTACGCATACGGCATAAATTTTAAAAAACATGTTAATTTTTAAATGGCTTGCGCCCCAAGTTATCATGATTAAGAAAAAAATATGAAAATCTTTAAATTATATATGGCTAGCGCCCCTAATAAACATGTTCAAGGAAAAATTGACAAAAATATACCTGGCAAATATATAACATATAACATATATACAGGTGTGAAACTGTCACTAGTGGCTAGAATTTTGGTTTTCTCAAGCCATGGTTCATCAGAGACGGAAGGCTCACTAATCCACAACGCCCGCCCATGACGGCCCACTGCCCCGACATGAGCTAAAGATGATAAAGCCACCATCTCCAACACTCCATTATGACATGCGATTAAGCCCTCCCACCAACGTCAAGGTGCAAAAACTAGTCATGGGGAGGAATTCTTGTGGAAGGGACTACGTAGATTTGGTACTTTAACTAATCATGTTTGTATTACTTCATGCTAGAAGTTAACGATTTACATAGTTGGAGATGCTTAACGTCAGATATCAGACTTAAAGTGCTCATTTTATACGATGAAAGTATAGAGTTGATAGTTCCTATAGAGTATGGCAGTTTTAAAAATTGTATATAGAGAGTATGGTCAGCCATGGTCAATTTTCAGGAAGCCACGAATCCGGTTGATCATCTCCTTTATCAAACTCCCCTATTGAGGAGGAATGGTGAGGAGTATCTCCCTCAGCCACCACTGGCAAAAGAGATGGTCGCCGGTTTGCTCACGTACCTTCGATGTTCAGTTCTATCGATTGTTTAATACTCAAGTCGTCCTCTGACGTCGCTAGTCGATAGCTTTGGAAATTGAGCTGTTGTTGCCTCTACCGCTGTAGTTTTGATATTTTTTGCGACATTCTCTGACTAAAGTGGGAATATTTTCCTGTTCATTGTGAAGGTATGGTACTTGACAATCGATTCCAATGTATAACTCATTTTCACCAAAAATGCTAATGACTATTCATCCTAATTTATATAATTTGTTTATTGTTCAAATATCTGATATCAGTTTCCTAGTATTTTTCTGCATCATATATAGCATTTATATTCGTATCTTTTAAACAAGGCCTAGAATGTATGGAACTGACCAAGTAGTTGAATAAATCAAGTGAAATATTTGGTTGAAATGTACTTTCAGCTTTAAGAAAGGAAAAAAAAGTCCTTGTTGCGTTGGAACTGAAGATAGTTTTTTACAAATGTCGACCAGAATAATTTTTATTTATTCATTTCGTCAAGCCAGTGTAGACTACATATAATGATTATTACAATGTTTACTTACATACTATGCATTAATTCTATTCTGTTTTAGTTTAGATTTTATTTGCTGCGTGGACATAGTGATGTCAATAGTTCCGCAGTTGTTCTGTACGATTTTTCAGAAAATGAATTCCGTGTTCTAAGATACCGACAAGGGATGTAAAAGTTTAATTGTGCGAGAATTTCTGCCGAATCTATGCGCATTGAAATGATGTCGTTGATGAAGAAAAGCATTGCACATTGGCGGCGCTCCTTAAGTGTTTGTTTATTGATGAGTATGCAGTGCGCTTCATAAGATGGTAATGGAAATTCAGTCCAATTCGATTTACGTAAGGCATATAAAAGGAATTGTTTTTGGACAGATTCCATGCGTTCATCGTGTATGAAAATGTATGGATTCCATATCGGGTGGCAGTATTCCAGAATTGGCCTTACATATGTGGTATACAATAGCTTAATAGTGTATGGGTCTTCGAAATTATGACTGAACCTTTTAATGAAGCCTAGCATTCTGTTTGCTTTACTAATGATAGCATTATAATGTTCTATAAAAGTAAGTTTGGTCTAGGATTACACCTAGATCAATTACAATTTTGCATTTTTCTACTATTTGGTTTCCTAATGATATTTCAATATGCGGTGTTTCAATTTTTCTGCTAAATACTATTGCGGTACCTTTTTTTACGTTCAGTTGAAGTAGACTTTTACTACACCAGGTGTGGAATATATTGATTTCATTCTGGAATTCTTCTGCATCGCTAGAATTACTTATTTCCATGAAGAGCCTCATGTCGTCTGCATATACAAGCAGTTTTATTTTTTTTAAGTATGTAGGAAATGCCTTTTAAGTACAAAATAAAAAGAAGCGGGCCTAAATGAGAACCCTGGGGTACCCCAGAGGTAACTGAAATTGGTTCTGAAAGTTTATTTTGAAAGTGGACTATTTGTTTACGATGTGTTAGGTATGATTGAAGCCAATTCAAAAGTCCAGGCTCCATTCCTATCTTCTGCAATTTGAGGATTAATAATGGTATATCGATGCGGTCAAATGCTTTACTTAAGTCGGTGTATAGCGCTTCAACGTGCTTGCCACTGTCCAACGCTTTAAGAATGAAAGATACATATTCTAGAAGATTAGAGGTAGTTGAGCGACCTTTAAAAAAGCCGTGCTGTTTACTTGTAATTAGATTTTTCACCTGCTGAAAAATATTTCAGTTTACGATTGATTCAAAAAGTTTTGGAATGCAAGAAATAATAGCAATTTCGAATGTTTGATTTTGCACCTGTTTTAGTTGGTTGCACCTAGTTATATCGTGAAAAACGGAATTCCTCAAAAGGAAATTCAGCAGTGATTTGTAACATCAAGGCATGTTCAAATTTATTACTGACGACAAATGTTCAAAGATTGCCGTCACGTTATCAAAGATGAACCGATTTCAACTAAATACAGTATCGAAATATCGCTTGTGATTATAACCAATTCTGACTGAATGATGAACCCCAAAACCGAAATTCTACAGGTGTCTAACTGCTATATCTTCTCACTCTTTCTCTTACCATCTCCAGAATCACAACCTCGAACGGTGAAATCACGGTGACCAAGTCACAGGCACCTTCCACTCCGCCCCTATCAGTACAAAAGAATCATCCCGCATCGCTGCACTTCAATCCATCCATCTCGCCCCAGCCGTTGATCCATCATCATGCGAGAGACCACCAGCAGCATCCCGTGCCATCCAGTCACAACTCGACGCATTCGGCGATAGCAGCCGGTTCCTCCTCCGCCTCGTCATGCTCCACGTCGGGCGATAGTCATCTAACGAAAGAGCACCAACATCAGCACCTGCACCAGCAACAGGGTCTGCATAAACCGTCCGCTTCGTCCACCTGCACTACACCGGGAGTGATTTCGCTCACCCTGGACGACGTGGAGCAGAAGATTTCCCCCCATTCGGCGGGCTCGTCGTCGTCCAAGCGGCATCGAAGTCTAACACCCCCACCACGAAAGATGAGTCCTGCGGGATCCGTGCAGCTTTCGCAGGGCGACGACGAAGAGGATGACGACAATCATTCCACCAACAACGAGCTAGAAGACTCTCCAAGTAAGCGATAAGGTTTCGTTTTTTATTCCGATTTTAATGCACACAAATACACTCGAAGAAACACAAACACTCACACAGGGAAATAGTGCCAACCTCGAAAAGGCACTCATCAACGGAACACAATTAACTCGAGAAATGGTTGCAAACACTTGAGGCAATTATAGCTAATTTAGAACAATATAAGCTGATGATACGCGCATAATATAATGCGTCCCGATCGACGGCCACGACGTCGCCAAGAAGAACGCTGGGACGGATTGAAGACGGTTGATGTCACACACCATTATTGCTAGTTACGAGCTGTTACGAGTTATTATTAACGTTGAACTGAATGTGCCATCCGCACAAATACCCATTCGGATCGATTATATATGTGTGTGAGAGGAGTAAACAGCAGGAGTGGAACGATTTTTTTCAATTTCCGAGTCAATTAATTTGACATTCTCCATTAACGCTTAATTTACGCTAAACAGTTGCCTAAGTGCGGTGCTTTATTTATTATTAGAGCGCAAGAGCACGGGCGCGAGAGTTTTCTGCTAGATGCTGATGAATGCGACTGGGATGAGGAAAGATTTTTTTTCATATCGATTTGAAATGGAAGGGTTTATTGGGATCACACATTGATTTCTTGCTCCCGTCGCCATCATCATCGTTAATCAATTGAAAATGGGCTAGTCAAATGACTGTTGAAGGTTGAGCAGTAGCATAAATGCAGTTTTGCAATCTTAGCCGAGTTGATAATGTGTTTTTGAATTAGAAATTGATTGGATTGCTCGATTTTTTAATTTCTAGTCGCTACGACCCATATTGATATGACCCCCCCTTTAAATTATAACAAACAAGAAGAAACGTATCGGAGTCCCAGCAAATTAGGAGAAACACAATTCTCTTCGTTCTGAGAAAACATGGAACATAAGTGAAAACTTAAGTAATGTTATGTGCTAAGATTCTTAATTTTAAAAATTCGAAATTTATTATAAATTATAGTTAATTTAAAGTGAATTTAAAAAATGGATCGATATGATACACATGTGTATCCGAAAAATCTACATGTAAAAGAAATCTCAATATACTGCAAAATATTGGCAAAATGCGCATCATTAGGTGCTGCACAGAATTATGCCACTTTACGATAAAACACAACAATTGGAGACGGACTGAAAAATATTTGCAGTGTTTAAGGAAAGCTATCCAATAATAGAAAGATCATCCAAACAAAGACTTGGTGGTGCAAGAAATTTGAAAAGATACGAATTCCACCCGTTTACTATTCGTTGCAAGGTGTTGAGGGGGCGACAAACGAAGAGCCGAGTGTGATACAGAAGTCTCGCATGATATACTGGAGACACACTTGTGCTATGATTGATTGTACTCCGATTGCCAAAAATGCTTGAAGCCATCACTTAATTACTCTTGAAGTCATGCTACTTGCACTTGTAAAAAAATGATTACCAGCAGATTTTGTCCATAATGTTACACACAGGCAGTCGAAGCTAGATTCTGCATATCTACAGATAATGAATTGATGATTAAAAAAAAATCAAAGGACAATATATTGTGACGAAGGATTACGTCTTTCAGCAACATGTTGGGAGCGCAATAAAAAAAAAAAAAATCTAAAATAGACCGCGTTATGAAAAGTGGTCAGGTTATGACCACTTATAAGTCTTTGGTTAGCGGATGGATTTTAATTCTATTCAAGCCAATCGATTGGAAATTTTTCTACAAATCTGCTTAAATGAACACTTTATCAATTTTCAGTATGTCTTTTTTTTTAATTACACAAATTTACAACTGTTGCAATGGCGATCAAAATTATCACCGATTGCCTGCAAAAAGCGCTTTTCCTAACACAGATTTTAAAATTGAATTCCATCCGGTCTCGCCGAACGGTGCTTATTCAATCACCGTGTGTGATTATGTCCGGTCAGTTGTCATCATCATCAGCAGCAGCAGCAATGCTTTCGGCACGTGGCGTTTAACATTGTTCTCCAGTACACAACGAAAGGTTGCCCGCAAACAGCGAGCTGCATCCCACATGAGCGTCCATTCACCGAAGAAGGAGGAAGAAGCCGCAACGCTACTGATCGGATTCAGTAGCACTTCATGAATCACTGGGGGTCCCCAGTTTTAAAAATCAGTGCCAGATGGTTGTAGAGTCTGGAACTCAAGTGTTTGAGTTCCAGATTCAGGATGTTGTCGAAACCTGAGGCCTTCATGTTTTTAGATGATTTGATATATGCCAACAGTTCGTCAGCCGTAATCTCGGATTCCTCTGGAAAAATGTTAGGAATCTGATGAAGATTGGTTGCATTTTCAGCAACCTCAGATTCATGAGGGCTGACGATGTTTTGTCCGAGATTATGGGAGCTGACGAAATGTTGACCTATCGCGGCAGCCTTCTCTTCAGGAGTTATGAGATGAACCACTGGGTCGCCGGGACGATCCAGTGGGGTCAGTGGTGGAATGGGCCTGGGCTTGTTTTTAAGAATTTTCGTTAGTTTCCAGAAGGGCTTTGCACAATCTGGGAGAGAGCGGATTTTGTTAGCAAAATCTTGATTTCTGAGGTCCACCATCCTGGCTTGGATGGTTTTTGTAAGACGATTGCAATGGGTCTTCAAGACACGCAAACCAGAACGCTGGTATTGCTTTCGGATGGAGTTACGGAGTCTGATGAGATCTTTGGTAATTCTATCAAGGTTCAGAGTATTGCTCACCTGTCTGGATACTGGCACGTGTTGGTCCCTGGCCCGGGATATCGCCTCCTCGATGGAACGCAGACACCGGTCAACGTCTTCGGGCGTCTCCGGAAGGACACCGTAGTCGACAGTGGAGTCGACACAGTGTTGGAACTGCTCCCAGATGACACGATGGTAGTTGCGTCGGGGAGCTTGGAATCGGTTGACAGATGAGCCTACTTCGGCCACCACCGGATAGTGGTCCGAACTCAGCTCCTGATGGGTCACAGGTAGCGAGATGTTGTCTCCCATGTTGCTGATGAGGATGTCAATGGTGGAGTGAACGCCAGACCGGCTCAACCGGGTGGGAGAGTCCGGTGCTAATATGGTGTATCGAGCCTCTTGCAGGTCGTCGTTGAGGATGGTGCCGTTTTGGTTGCGTCGACTATTGCCCCAAGCCTGGTGTTTGGCGTTCAGGTCGCCAGCAATGATGTACTTTTCGCGCCGTCGAGTTAGTTTGATGATGTCCTTCCGCAGGTCTGCTGCCGACCCGTCCCTGATGGTGATTTGCTTGGGGCAGTACGTCGCAATGATGGTGATAGGGCCGACATGAGTGGAGACTTCTACCCCTAAAGCTTCGATGGTTTTCAGCTGGAAGCTCGGCAGAAGCCGACAGCAGATGTTTCTCCTTACAGCAATAGCAACTCCTCCTCCCCCGGAGCTGGTTCGATCTAGTCTTAGAAGCCGGAAGTCAGGAAGACAGACGTTTACCTCCGGTTTCAGGTGGGTTTCGGTGATAACAGCAATGTCGATGTTTTGTTTGCTGAGGAAGTCAATGAACTCGATGATCTTTTGCTCTTGAGCGAGCAAGCGTTCCAGTTGGCGATCTTGATGGTTTCACGGTCCATAATTGTCGATGAAACGTGATGCAGCAAGAATCTGCTCGGTTCTGGTTCTGCAGGAGCGCTTGATGATGATTGCTTCTGCCATGATGGTAATAAGTTCCTCTGTTGTGAGTAGCTCTTCGTTTTCATGCGATGGTAGGGCATCATCTCGACGCCACGATAGACCCGGGGGAGGGGACGAAACCGTTGCCGCAAAGGACTGCCGGCTCGGATTAGCCGGATGGTTTGGCACCTCAGCAGTTGGCGGGACCGATGCAGCAGCAGCAGCCATACGGTTGTTGAGCGGTAGTGGCGGAAGAATCGGAATCGGACGCCGTTGGCTAATGGCGGGGAAATTCTGCTCATTGCGTGCCGGTACCTTTTTCCGACCCAGCTGGTTCTGCGTGGAGGACCTTTTGCGGATTTCCATGAATTCCGCACGCTTCGGACAAGACTTGCTGGTAGCTCGATGTGCTGCACCACAGTTGGCGCATTGTAGATCTGCGTTCTCCATGCTCTCGCATTCTTCGGGTTCGTGTTGTTTGCCACATTCGTTGCAGCGATGAGCCATGTGGCAATGTTTGGTCCCATGCCCAAACATGAGGAAGTTTGAGTATTGGGTGACGTTACGGGGGCGAGGTTGGTAGCGTTCCCACTTAACCACGATGTGGAAAAGCGCCCGAATACACTGCAGGTCCTTCAAACACGTTGTGTTTCGCTCGAGGTGGACCAAATACAGCTGGTCACGGTACTTGCGGGAGGCGTCGTGCTGATTCATCCTGAAGACTTGCGATGACCTTAGGCCGTTCTTCTTCAGCTCATCCGACAGCGCGGCGATTTCCATATCGGGCAGACCACGCACGACCACCTTGAGCGGCTTGTCCTCCTCGATGTCGTGAGAGAAATACTCCCATTTTTTCTGCTTCAGCAGCACTTCAACGGCCTTGTAGTCCTTCCTTGCTGGTACCATCAGCATGATGCCTTCAGAGCACAGGCGCATGGTGCACTTCAAGAAGCCTTTCTCGATGTAGTACTCGATGTTTTCCCGAAGTCCAGGCGGGAATCCCTTGACAAAAAAGGGTGGTAGTTTCTCCTTCTTCTTTATTTCCGGTTCATCACCATTTTCCAGAATGGCGTACCGGTTGTTGGACAGCAGCTTTTTCGAGGCCGACTGATACTGGAATCGAACGATGTTTCACTTATCACCGCGAAAGGGAGACGCGAACGGACTGTCACAAAACTAATACTCAAGAGAGAGATCGGACGAAACCGGACTGGACTGCTTGACGATCAAGCAGTGAATGTTGACTGGGACCATCGCCTGTGTTGAACACCCTACTAAGAGTTAATTTTCATTGAATGTTCGCTCGCCTTGCTGCCAGCCACATCACCCCCAAAGCTCTTTGATAATTTACCCAGCAACCAAACTGTTGTGGTCAAATGCGTAACAGTATTTATTATTTTATTTATTTATTGTAATTCATCTGACAGTAGTTGTCTTAATGAATAAAACTTAGACAATGCACCAAAAAGCAACAGATAAACAGATTACGAAAATATTCACAATCTTCTCAATTGGTTTTGAAATTTGTTCGATGTTTCTCCGAATTCAAATACTTCTTCCACAGCGGAGAATGCCCGAATCATCGCAGACATTGGCTCATGGTATCCATATGCAGTCCGATGGAATCTTGGTTATACTAAGGATGATTGCCACAAGATCCTTTAAGGAACATGGAAGTTTAATTGCGAAAGCAGTCGCCCACATCGCCATTTAAAAGTTTCGCTACAAATAAGGCTTGTTGCATTTTTCTCCTGTGTTCCAATGTGTCCAGCTCCAATATCATGCATCGGTCTGCATAAGGTGGTAAATTCATTGGATCGCGCCACGGCAGGCTGCGCAAAGCCATCCACAAAATTCTTTTCTGAACACGTTCTATTCGGAGATTCCACACTAGCTCATATGGAGACCAGACCACAGATGCATTCTTAAGTATGGGCCGAACTAAAGAGCAATATAGTGCCTTCAAGCAGTGAGGGTCTTTGAAATCTCGTGCAATCTTCGAAATCCCAGTTAACGATTCGCCTTAGAGATGATCGAGGAATATTGAAGATTGAAGGTCAACTTTGGGTCCAAAAGAACACCAAGATCAGTCAAACGTTCTCAGTGTTCACTAGGCTGTCGACAAAAGCAGGCCACTCTCGATGTGTGCCACGCGATCGTCTGTTTTCTCGGCAGCAACCATTGTGTGGTCCTCCTCATTGTTCTTCATCATCAGTTCTTTCGGTCGATGCGTCGTCGACTTTGGAAAGCAACCGTTTAGTGATGAGTGTGTGAGTGCTGACCACGTTTTGCGTCCATTGCTGCAATGGAAGCGCTCTGTCCCCCGTTGGCGTAACTGCCATATAATGAAACCACTGTAAGCGGCTCCAGTTCTGATGGAGGAGGCTTTTTGGATAGTGGAAGATAAAGTGTTTATTGTGTTGTACCTTTTGACTATAGTTTTAAGATGTATTGTATAGTGACGAAGAATCCTCGGCTCTGTCAAGTTAATTCGTTTGAGCCTTATCTTAGAGCGATGAAACGTCATCACTGCACCTTTTGGAACGATGATGATGAGCTTATTGCGACGGCACCTATCTGCAAAACGAATCTAGCAGAGCTTGAAGACGATGACAAACCTCAATCGAGTGATATAGCTTAAGATCATCTGCATAAACGAGCTTACATTTAACTCCCAACAAAGCTGCTACATCGTTGAAGAATAACGTAAACAAAAGTGGACCCATGTTACTTCCCTGAGGTACTTCAGAGGTGCTGGTAAAAGTAGGAGAGACACTAGATCGACTGCGATCTAGTGTCTCTCCTACTTTTACCAGCACCTCTGAAGTACGACTGCGTACTCGAAGAGTTCATCCAGTCAAGTAGGAATGTAACCACGACCTAAGTTGCTCAGACGCTCCGTGTTGGGAAAGCTTGCATAACAAAACCTTCTGGTCGATTTTGTCGAATGCGGCTGTCAGGTCAGTATATATGACGTCGACTTGTGCCTTATCCTCCATCGCAGTGATGCATGTATTGGTGAAATCCAAAAGGTTAGTAGCTGCCGATCTACCGGGAATAAATCCATGCTGTTCAGTTGAAATGTAGTTCTTCGAGCGATTCAGGACAAATTCGCTCAAGATGATCTCAAACAATTCTCAAATGATTGGACGCTGCCGAAAAACTGGTGATACCTCGATAGTTCTTAATATCCCGTTTATTGCCAGCTTTGAAAACAGGAAACACATACGACTGCTTCCACAATGTTGGAAATTTTCCTTGCTCAAAAACTGCATTAAATATGGCTGCTAAAGGTTCTGCTAAGGCAGCTGAGAAACGACAGAACACCACTGCCGGAATTCCATCTGGACTAGGAGAGAGTTCGTTTTTTAGGAACCGCAGCTCATAAGATCACTGATATCACAAGTCTAGACCATTCAAACCAGTCACCCCGTAAACCAAATCGCGCACGTAATGCACCATGTGCCTAATAATAGTGACGTCAGCACCAATGGTAAAAGCAAACTTCGAAGCGGCTGTTTGGAAGAGAGAGAGACATAATCACATGTGCTATACGATGTTAATTTTCTACTGGTTTTATCCAATTTATTCATGTACCCGGCTCTTATTGCTGATGTTATTCCTTCAGCACATGTGCTTTCACCTCTCTTCCCATCATTATCTGGGGGAGCAGAAGATCCGCATAAAAGCAAATAACCAAAAAGCGAAATGCAGCTCTCCAGCCTATCAGCTCAGCTCCGGATCTGAATCATCTACTCGACACTGGGAGCTGTTTAGGTTTACAACTCTCGGACCCGTCCAGCTCTCGAACCCGTCCAGCTCTGTAATCTAAAATCTGTATGTAGACTGGATTACATAGCTTGAGTAAAGGCGTAACATCCTGTGCCACGATGTGAACCATATCATCGTGTGTGACATAGGTGTAGCTCTCGCATACATTTTTTTGTTTTTACTGATATGTTTTTGGCACATTTTGCGCGCATTTTGGTTTACGCGATGGTTGATCAGTTGTTGCGTTAGTGGCGTTTTACATTGAAAAGTAGAGCCTTATTGTAAGGTACGGATTTATAAGGTTAGACTACTTTTACGGTTTTAAGCACTGAAACCACTAATTAATTTTCCGATTTTGAATTTGTGTCATAATTTCTATAATTTCAATGTGAGCTGAAGAGCTGTTCAAAAGAATCGACTCCTTTTATTGAGCTGGATGAATTTGATCCACTGAGCCAGATGAGCTGTTTTGCCCACCTCTGTTGTGTAGTGATCGAGGTTGAACATTAATGTTCACTTGTTGCAGAATTGCTTCGCAGTTGATTCTTCCTTGCAGAGTATCGGCGACGGTTAAGGCTCTGAAAACATCTCTTCGGATACGTAAGGGCTCGACATTGATCAATTGGCAACGATTCTCGTAGCTTGGAACACGAAGTGGGTATCTCCAAGGCAGCTTTTGGAGCGCGAAGCGAAGAAAACGTCGTTGCACATATTCAAGGGGCCTCATAGCCTAGTCAGTAAAGGCACGGTATTATCAAGCCGGAGGCGGCGGGTTCGATTCCCGGTCCGGTCGAGGGAATCTATCGGGTTGGAAATTTTCTCGACTTCCCTTGGCATAGAGCATCATTGTGCTTGCCACACAATATACAAATTCATGCATTGGTATTGGCATCGAAAGCTCTCAATTAATAACCGTGGAAGTGCATTTAGAACACTAAGTTGAGAGCACGCAATAAGCTAATATGCGCTAAGCAATAAGCTTGAAATGCGAACAACAAGAAGAAGAAGACAGATTCAATTCGCTCGGCCCCATTATTTTAGATCAGGCTCTAGACCACAGAGCAGTATTCCAACGTAGATCGTTCGAGAGCGCAATAGAGCGATTTCAAGCAGTAAGTGTCTGTGAAGTTTTTAGTAATCTTGAAGACAAAGCCAAGAGTTCTGGACGCTTTGTCGACGACATACGATATATGGTGTAAGTATGTCAGCTTTGAGTCTAGAAAAACGCCTAAGTCTTTCATGGAATGCACCTGTTCGATAGTCGTGCCTAGTCATTCGGCCATATGGCATTCGGCCAAATTACCCGGAGTGGTATTGAAGGAGTACATACAAATTCCCGCAATGACTGAATAGCACATGACCTTGTCAAATAACCAGAAACATTTCGTGTTAAGGTAGGGTTTTCTCCAGGACACTAGAAAAAAGCAAAAAGTAAGAGGTTGTACCCAAGACATGACCGTAGATTTGACGTAAAATTACGTCCTCGATATCAATATTCGGCGACTGTATTAGAGGAAGCGCTTTTTGTAGGCAATCGATGATATTTTTAATCACCATTGCAAAACTTGAACATTTGTGCAATTTTCAATAGTGACCTAGATACAGTAAGCAGATTTGTGGAAAAATTTCTAATCGATTGGTTTGTTTAGAATTAAAATCCATCCGCTATTGATAGAGTAATAAGTGGTCAAAGTCTGACCACTTTTCGTAACGCGGTCGATTTTGGTTTTTTGAAATTGCACCCCCAATATGTTGCCGAAAGACGTAATCCTACATAAAAAAAAATCGAATTTATATGATTGATCGTGAATATCTCGCGATTGGAAAATTTTAGCAAAATATTCCTCCAATCAATTTTTGCTTTTTTTATAAACCAAGAATTCCATGCGTTTTGTGCAAGAAAATGCGTAATTTTGCCATCAGAAAACGAAGCGTTTGCGTAATGGGAAAAAGTAGATTTCCTAACACAGTCACTGAAAATTTTTACCGAGAACGTAATCCAACGTCAAATCTACGGTCGTGTGTTGGATACAACCTCTTTTGTTGTTTATTAGAATATTCGACAACATTATTAATAGATTTATTCTGGGAGATCGAGGATAATTTCCTTTCTCAATTATCAACAAGGCATAACACACTTACATTGAAGAAACATAGCAACACACTTCATCCACAAATGCAGTCATTTTCCAAACATCTACGAACATTAATTAACCTCTCACTTTTCCCCCACCTTAACCAGATGAACTAACAATCAACCAAACCAACTGCAACGTTGTCGACGGAATCGACCTGGACGACATCAAGGAATTTGCGAAAGCCTTCAAGCTGCGGCGCCTTTCGCTGGGCCTCACGCAAACCCAAGTAGGCCAGGCGCTGTCCGTTACCGAGGGACCGGCATACAGCCAGAGTGCCATCTGCAGGTAAACGCTCCGTGAAAATCACTTTTCACTCCGCCTACTCTTGTTTCGCTTGAAAGTTTTGGTGGCCCGTTCGCTCCTTCTCCTTCGCAATTTGCATATTTTTCGTCCTCATTTGATTAAATCACCACAAGGTCCGTAAATTACGAACCAGAGAATAATTAAAATTATCTCAGTGAGGGAGGAGAAGGAGAGAGCGAAGCAGCCAGCAGAAAATCACAGGTGAAAGTGAAGAAAAATTGGATAGCTCTATGCAAAATTCGGATGGATAAGGCCATTGCAAAGTGAGACAGAATGAGAAAAACGGTGCCAGGACATTGTTCTTCCTTGTTTATGTTTCATTTACGTTAATCATTATTCATAATCAATGGAATAGCGGATTAATTTATCGTTTTTCTTTCTTTCGCTCATCTTTTTTCGGACAACGTTTGTATTTTCTCGTTGTCACCGTATTCGCAATCACACGTACCGGCACACACACACACATACCTTGCTCCATCATATTTTTATCCCGTTTACGAATGCAAACTGCTACGTCACCACCAACTTCACCGCCCATCACCATGGTCACCACCATCGCCAACGTGCCAACTTCTGTGTGTGCCACTGTGCCAAAATGCAAATTTTCTGATGTGGGGGTACGTGCAGCGCCCTCGCCGCTCAGATGTACTGTGCAGCTCAGCTCTCATCCCAGCAGCAGCAAATGTATGTATTTTGTCAACTCTTACTTTTTTCGGTTTTCCATTCTTAATCCTTATAGTTATGTAGAAGAGATGGTTGTTGTTGATGTTATTCTGTTTGTTTGTTTGTTTGTTTGTTTGTTTTGGTTTTGCTTGCTTTTCGGTTTGTGCTACTTTTATTGGCTTTCAGTTTCGCTTGGTATTACGTTTTATATCATCTATGGAATCAAAATTCAGTAGCTTAACGGTAAGGTAAGACTAATCCTCCGAATCGTGTCTGCATGGCATTAATCCAACTCTGTCGAATGCAAACGGGGGTGCATTGCTAAATTAGTGTTCTAGTCAAAAGTTTTCCAGTGTTGATGCGTTCGATACGAATCCAGGTGGGTATCATCTTCACTAGCATGCGGTGTGAAATAATCTACCCTAACAAAGCCTACGATTATTTATAAGGATTTAGTTTTTTTTTCTCTTTTGGTTTGCTACATTTGCACTTTTATGTTCATCATCCAATGAATTGGCCAGGGCATTGTTTGCTTTATCATTTGTTTTGTGTTTATTTTAAGTTATCAAAATTGACGCAATCTAAAATTGATTTCTAAATCAATGTCCTGGCAAATTCTTCCCTCTTTAGAACACGTCTGCAAATTTTTCCAAAATTGACAGGTTGCTTTTTGTTTGATTGGAAGTAGCGAAACCATCGCTGATTCGACAAGATTCCTCATTTGATTGAACTTTTTCTCCTAATGTATTTTCGTCTTGTTCTTTCTTCCTTTCATTTGTTGAACATTTTGAAACCAACCACATTCGCAATCACATACAAACGTAATTATACTTACTCACACCTACATCTGTGGTATATCGCACCCCATACCCCATGTACGTTCATCGGCTGGGAAACTAAACTAAAGGTTTGAAAAGTTAGACATTACTCCCAAAAGTGCACAAAAGATCAAACCCGTCCTGGAGCGCTGGATGAAGGAGGCCGAGGAAAGGTACGTTTGTTTGTTTTGCAAATATGTCATCTAAGCAAGCTGTTGTTAAATCAATTTCAATGTGAATTTCAAATCAGGCTGCGCCTACTGCGCCGCACCCCACACACTGTGGATTCTATTTTGAATGAATATTTATCTCTGTTTTGCAGTCACTCGTCCAGGTTCAAATCGGGTCAGAACCATTTGACCGATTTTATCGGTGTGGAACCATCGAAGAAGCGGAAAAGACGTACCTCTTTTACGCCTCAGGCGTTGGAATTGCTAAATGGACATTTCGAGCGGAATACTCATCCGTCAGGTAAGCAACTGCTGGAACGATTGCTTGGAGTTGAGCGAATTGAAGTTTCAATTACATTCCCATTTTTTTTAAGGAACGGAAATCACCGGATTGGCCCACCAGCTTGGCTACGAGCGCGAGGTGATTCGGATCTGGTTCTGCAACAAACGCCAAGCGCTCAAAAACACGGTACGAATGATGTCGAAAAATTTCAAAATGGAAAGTTCTTAAGCAGCTTCCATGGAAGCCAATTTTTGTTTTGTTTGTCTTTTTGTCTTCTGTTGTAAACACGTGCCATTTGATTGATTTCATTGAACTTAAACTATTTGGAAGTTTTAGTAGAATTTATTGATTGAAACATTAGAGTTGCTATTTATTTTAAGAAACAAAAAAAAAACAGATCAATATTCATCACTTTATTAGTTCAATTAAGCAGTAAAAACGTACTTTCAACTAGTTTTCAATTGAGTTAGAAATGATGCAACCAAAGTTCCTATGAAATTAAGTATAAGAGTTATAAACAGATGATGCTAAAACATTTATAATATAAAAAAATAAAAATAAAACAAAAGATAGTAGTAGATTATGAGAACGGTGAAATACCATTCTTCATAGTAATCATACCTTAAACGATATTGATCAGATTTTGTTTACTAATTTTCCCACATCTTCTTTGTTTAAACAGTTGAAAATTACTCAGTAAACAATGTTGTTTCGGACTCAAGAAAGGTGCCAAAATATCTTCATCTACGTCAGCTGATCGTGCCATAGTTTTTAGTTGCAATTGTCAGAAATTCAAAAAAGCCATATACTGTAACTTCAGTTTTCAAAAGAAGACACATGGATAAGCGACAGTTTCAAATCACATGTATACAAAACAAAAAAAACAAGTGAATTATTTCTAAAATAAAATAATAAACAAAGTCCCATTTGTAATGAGAAATTTATGTATAGTGAGTCAGAGAGCAAACAAACTCGATATGAATAGGATAAAATAAAAATGGAAATAAATTGGCAAAAAAATACAAAATTACCAAACAAACCAAACCGGTCTCTTCAATTGGCAAGTCCCTTTTTCGAAATTCACCGTTCTTTTCGTCGGCCACCTGTGTCCAGTGCTCGTGTGTATGTGTGATAACAATTAGCAAAAAAAAAACAAAACAGAAATGGTAGCTTTTGTAATTGCACCTTGATTTATGATCGTCAAAGTTCACCTCATCGTGATAGGAATTTATCAGCAGCAGCAGCAGCTAGTAACAAAAAATCATAAAATAGAAGAAACTAAGCGGCTCATATCCGAAAATTAGACCAGCCCTGCACATAGTCAGTAGATTTAAAACAAAAATGATTGCTGTTATCACTGAAACCGATGTAAATTCGTCTCCTGTAAAATATTTAGAGAGTAAATATGGAAAGAAACACAATTAAACATAAACAAAAAACGCGCCTCATAGATTTAGATGTTTAAGATGAGTGTTTAGTATCCAGTATCGAAGGAAGCATATTCAATGTGATATGTAAAATATGAATATTATTATATGAGAAGTAAAAGAGACACAGTAAACTTTCAAAGGAAAACAAAAGTTGAACTCACACAAACACACTCACACTTGAAATTGCATTTACCAAGTAGAGAAAAAAAAAATGAATGAGTATGAGGTGAAACGGCGATGCACTATTGGGGAATGGGGGGTTAGTTTTATGGAGTAAACCTGTGGATATTTAGCTGTATGGAATATGAAATTCGATAAATAAAACTTTATGAAGTAACACGGGATTTTGTTTATTCTTCGAACTCATTTCAAATGTTAATGTTAAACATTGGAAAATGGAGCACTCATCAAGAACCCACCGGGGAGGGACGATACTGAGGAGCAAAGAACACATGATACAAAGCGAAAAAGCAATAGAAGCTAATGTAACAGTTCAATTAATGCTATAGTAGAAACGGTACATTTAATTGCAAAAAAAAATTAAATACCGTAGTGCACCTAATAGCGGTTGACTCGTTCATCCAGACATTTCAAATACTACTTCGATAAATACTAGACCTGTTCATTTTAACAGAAATGTTCGGGATGCACCGGGTCAACCGTGATTACTGTTCATCATGTTAATTTGAACTTCTGTGCAAATTTTCAGAAAAATCTGTGATGATTTAGAGTTGAAGCACCTCTAAATCATCACCGATTTTGCTGAAAATGGCTCGAGTGACACTTGCCATTGATAAAAAACACGTCTACTGAGGATTCATATTTCAAAAAAAAAACATCGATCAATGAAACAGTCATCGGTCGTCATTGAAAAGCAATGCAACTATGTTCTGTCAATCTAATTGAAATTTTTATTGGCTCTGTTGTCTTGTGAATTTTAGTTATAACGGTCTCTTTTCTGATTTTTATCTCTCAATCTGTGGAATCTACACGAAAACTATGTTTGAAATAAATTTCTAGAACAGTATAAGGAACACTATGCCGTAGACTACACATTTTTATATCATATGGGTGAAAAGTTCGTAGAACAAATACTTTAAAATTCTTCACTTTTTAAGTTATCTTCGAGCATGAAACTAAGTCAAACTTCAATAAAATCACTTTGAATAGTCAACCTCTAGTGACAAAATTGGTAGATAACACATAAGCTTCGCTATGAAAGTTGTTACAGCAGTTTTCGTTGTTTCAATCTCGCCACACAAATATTATAAGCAGTAAATTACCTGAAAAACATAAAATTAACTTGAAGCACCTCTAAATCATCACCGATTTTGCTGAAAGTTTGCACAGATGTTCAAATTAACATTCCATTCTCTGTTGATCCAAAAGGAAAAGAAGAAATTAGCGTTATGAACAATAGGATGCTGCACGCTGACGTCATTCATCAGTTTGACATCCAGTGGTGGTTTGTTTACCTCTGCTTGTTACTCGATTCAAGAGGATTTGAGGTTTCAAATAAAAAGAATTAAAAGATATGATATCCGACTATGTTCGTTTGAAAAATATTCCTCTCCAAAAAATCTTAAAAAAAAAAACATTTAATAAACTTTTCAATTTTTTTCTAAGTCCATGTGAACAAACCAATGCCAAATGTCAAAAAAGTGAGGTTAACCCGACGGTGCAGTTTCCTATAAGGCTATCCATGAGACTTCTATCCAAGAACTTTTGACAGATCACAGTAGAACTGGCAGTTTATTCTCATATGAATTTCTGCTTTGTTTATGTTTACATTCAGCACCATTTACACCAGATCACTCACACACTCTAGATTTCTAGCTGTCAGTTCCACTGAGAAACGTCTCTTGGATCACCTTATTGTTTTTTTTTCTCCTTGTTTTTTTTCCGTCGATCTTGTTTTCCGTGCTACGCCCAATGCTACTGACGCCCGGGAGGCAGCTCCCACACCTGGACTCTATCTATCGACCCATCAACTCATGAACCAGGGACCAATGGCTTTGCTTCCCTTTCGAAGGAAGGCGTGATCACTAGAGTGATGCAAAATTTGAAACTTTCGCTTCACTATACTTAAACGATTCCAAATCGGATCCTGTCTAACTTCTCAAAATTTGAACCTATTTGGTGAGAAACTGAGATGGCACAAACCATTTGAAGTTTGTATGGGAATTACTATGGTGAAACCAAGATTTTTGTTCATGTCTATCTAATAATTCACCATATCGGTCTGCTTCAAAAACTTTAAACTGTACTTGTAGGTAATTTTTCCAGCTACAACTTTGTTGAAGACTATTTTTTGATTAAATGCAAGGATCGAAAGTTATCAATGGTTCCATGCGCTGATGTCTTATGATCATGTTCAATCAACTGCTCAGCAGGCAACATTGGTGTTTCTGGGGCGTTGAATAGGACACAAAAATCATGGCTACTATGTCACACTGCAAAATACAGTGTTGCCTACAGAGCAGCTGCTTGATCATGTCATAAGTTTACCAATCTCTTAAATAATTAATAACTTTTTCCTGTCTCGTTTTACATAGAAACAATCTTAAGTAATGTTGTAGCTGTGAATATTTTCTATAAGAATGGCTATCGAACTGTTTCGAAGCTCAATATGGAAAAAGACTAGAAGGCAATGAACAAAAAAGTTTAGATTTCCTATATTAATTTACATGTAATCTTCAAATGGCTTGTGCGAAGCCTGTTTCCAACCAATTGAGTTGTAACTTTGGGAGGCTAATCAGGACCTGATTTTAAACCATTTAAGCACTGTGGAGCGAAAAAGTCAAATTTTGCATCAGTCTAGTGATCATGCCTTAGTACATCCCGGCAGCGCCGACTGGGATTGAACCCAGGCCTGCTGGGGTGAGAGGTAATCACGCGTACGACTACACCACCGGCGCCGCTATATGAACATTATAAAAGTGCGAATTTTTGTTATATAATATTGGTTAATTCGTTGGCTTTTGCTGGATAAAAATCGTAACGCATCCTGGTGTCTTCCACAAAGTTTTTCAGGTTGAAAAGGCAAGGGGTTCAGCTAGTTAAGGCACACGTTGACAGTATTATAAAATGGCATCACTGTCGAGCGTTGACGTACTGCGAATCGTTGCTAAGGATACGTTGTTTACTCCGTTGTAAAACCTAATAAGTTCGAGAATCGTGCCATGTTCCCTTATAACTAATGTAAGAACTCAGCACTCACCAACTACCTACTCGGAGATCAAACATACAGCACCCGGTCGACTCAGGCGAACTCCGGAACACCCAGGGTCGACTAGCTATCGGGTAATCAGAGGGTTTCGCGATACAAAAACGAAGAACTTTCACTTTTCTTTAAACGCATTTATTCGCCACTTTCTGTATTATGTGCGTGTTGTTCTGTGTTCATAATTTCGTGTAATATGTGTCATGTAGCCTAATCGCGTTGTTTACTGTACCGGTACATACCGCTGCTGCCGTTGATGGTGAATCGGGATAGCCGACACAGTGACTCCTGTCCTACGATAACGAGTTTTTTTTTGTTGTGATTCTGGGAAACTGGGATATACTGTGAAATAACCCACAATATGGGTATTTTTGGAATCGGAGCGACGTGTAGGGACCGGAAATCGATGACTGACGCCATTTTGAAATCCAAGATGACGACTTCCGGTTACATAAAAACTTGGCAATTTTGTCATATACCCCATAATATGGGTATTTTTGGAATCGGAGTGACGTGTAGGGACCGGAAATCAATGTCTGACGCCATTTTTAAATCCAAGATGGTGACTTCAAGATACAGAAAAACTTGGAAATTCTGCCAAATACCCCACAATATGGGCATTTTTGGAATCGGAGTGACGTGTAGGGACTGGAAATCGATGTCTGACGCCATTTTTAAATCCAATATGGCGGCTTCCGGTAACAAAAAAATTGGAAAATACCACCACGTCACCCCGATTCTTAAGATACCCATATTGAAGGTTATTTAACATTATTTTTATATTTTTATGTAACTGGAAGTCACCATATTGAATTTCGAAATGGCGTCAGACATGGGGTTTCAGTCCTAATAAGTCACCCCGATTAAAAAATACCATATTGTGCGGTATTTGACAGTATTTTCCAGTGTTTCTGTAACCGGATGTCACCATCTTGGATTTCAAAATGGCGTTAGACATGAATTCCCGAATCTCACAGGTCACCCCGATTCCAAAAATATCCATATTGTTGTGTATTCAACGGTATTTTTCTGATGAATGTGGGCGTCTTAGTGGAATACCTGTATAATGAGAGAGAGAAGGATTAGTATTTTCCATTTAATTCCACTACTTTATTTGCTTATCCTTGACAGATACGCGTATTTCGTCTACAATGTGCAGACTTCTTCAGTGTCTTGAGTCGAGTATTAGTACAAGACACTGAAGAAGTCTGCACATTGTAGACGAAATACGCGTATCTGTCAAGGATAAGCAAATAAAGTAGTGGAATTAAAAGGTATTTTTCTGTTTTCCTGTAACCGGAAGCCGCCATCTTGGATTTCAAAATGGCGTCAGGCATCGATTTCTGGTCCCTACACGTCACACCGATTCTTAAGATACCCATATTGTGGGTTATTTTACATTATTTTTCTGTTTTTATTAACCGAAAGCCGCCATCTTTGATTTCAAAATGGCATCACACATCGATTTTCAGTCCCTACACGACAATCATATTCCAAAAATACCCATATTGTGGGGTATTTGACAGAATTTCGAAGTGTTCTTGTAATCGGAAGCCGCCATCTTGGATTTCAAAATGGCGTCAGACATCGATATTCGGTCCCTACACGACAATCATATTCATTTTTGACCCATATTGTGGGGTATTTGGCAGAATTTCCAAGTTTTTCTGTAACCGGAAGCCGCCATCTTGGATTTCATTATGGCGTCAGACATCGATTTCCGGTTCCTACACGTCACCCTGATTTCAAAAATACCCATATTGTGTTGTATTTGCCAATATTTTCAAAAATCTCTTGTTACGAAGTAAATCCCAAATAACGAGTTTTCGTTTTACGAAGTAAATCCTAAATAACGAGGGTTTTTTTACGTACTAATTCGATTTACGAACCCCCGTTTTGGTTCATAAATGGAGGTTCCAGTGTACTATATTCAACATGAGTGTTGCAATTTTTTGCCAAGAGATCCTATATGACGGTTAGATTATGGATGTGACACCGTATAAAATCCTCCTAAATTATCAAAAGATCTCGGTCCAGATATTCACATTTATTTTTCACGATGTTTGCAAACAATGAAAAGATTTCTCATTATGCATTAATGTTGCATAAATAAATAACTACCACGCTCTTCAAACCGGTCTCTTTGCATGCTGGAAATATCTAAAAAAGTCGTAGAATTCATCTCAACAAAACCCTCACCAATTGCTCCCTAGCTCTGCTGATGTATCATTTCGAATCGTTTCCCGGCGGCACTTTTCTTGACACGATACTCCATCACCTCAATCGTCGTGTACCTGGACAAGGATAATAAAACAAATTCCGTATTCGAATAATTAGTTCACACTCGTTCCAGCGTACGTAGAGCATGTATCGACTAATGAGATTCTATTAAGTCCAGTATTCAAACTCACCCAACGGTTCCGATTAGCATAATGCACACGATTCCGACCAGTTTGGTGAAGGTCGACAGTATCGGACTGGTTGCGTACATGATCACCGATCCAGTCGCTTCCCACAGGCGGAAATTGCTGAACGCAGCCTCCTCGTTACCGGGGAAGAGAATCCCACTCAATGCTGTGTTTGTAAAAAGGGTGAAATGCAAGGAACTTTTGTAAAAATGCTGTCAGTTTAGGGGATGATGATGATGGTGAAAGCTTTTGAAGGCAGTTGCGATGCGGACGCGATAGATGGTGTTGATGTGACTGGTATAAAAGCACACGACTAAATGCAATTCGAAAGCTCTGTTTCCTAAGCGGCAATACTCACCATTTATTTGAATCAGCCAAACTCCATCCGCCAAACCCCAGCAGGCGACGATAATCGAGTAGGCATAGTAGTCATTGGTAGGTTTCCATAGCAACATGAACACAATCAACGATAGGTGGAATATCGCCGTCGCGATGATCATCGGGAAGCGACCGATGGCTTTGGTGATTGAAGGGGTGACCGCTGCAGCAAAGGTATTCGCTAATCCAAAGCTGATCATTGCGTAACCGATGTAGCTGATGCCGAGACCGCAAGCGACGAATGACTGCACCACCGGAGGAGTAATTAGATTACATTAGAGCGGAACAGGCATATGTTTCCTTAATGAGATGAGGTTCCTTTCAACACCGTCCCAAGTCACGATTTTATGGAAATGAGATCGCAATAATGCAAGCCTTAATCGATAGTACATAGAAAATGAAATAGTACGTACCGCTGTAAAATCGACTGCAATGAACGCCTGCTCCACGCCGATGAACATGGTAATGGGAAGCAGCAGAATCTGGTACTTGTTGGTGAGTTGTTTCACCGTGATGATCAACATCCGAACGCCGGAAATCCCCGGTCCAGATCCAGTTCGGGTGCGATTGTATCGTTTGAGTGAGTCGACGCCCAATGCCACGGAAAGGCTGGCAGCGGCCATGCACGCGAGGAAAATCCCCGTCAGTGCGTTAAGCTTGGCAGCGTCCGGTCGGTGGAGGTTCGCATTTGTGTCGTTCTGCAGCTGACGGTCGACGGGAGCAACATAGTTGGCGCCGCACGTTTCCGATATGTTAACAGGGTAGGCTGTGACGTTTTGTGGGCTGTCATCTTCGCCATAGGAGAGCACTAAGAATAATTAAATAGCTAAATATGATGTTTTATAAAATTGGACTTTACTGCTAGCCAGTTGATAAAATTCCATAGTTCTGTTGGGAGCTACACAAACCTCGCAGAAAATTGCTGAAACCAGTCCCGCCGTACGTAGACAGTCATACAAACAAATTTAAAGAATATTAATGGATCGTAGATACTACCGTGGACACCGTACTCACCAAACCTCTACCACCTCCTAAAGTGTCTTCGTGGTTTATCAACAGCCCCTTCCCGAGCAGGAACGAATATCTCGATACCTTATATATGTAAGGGAGAACAGCCCATAATGCACCCCTGGGGTAAAATGCCCACTTATAGAAAAACAGCGATAACTTTTCCTCAGATGCATTTTCCGGGTAACGGTTTGTGATTGTTTTCAACTGAAGGTTTAACAAATAATTCTTGATCATAAAATCATGTATTGACCTACTGATTCCTTAAAAAAATTGCATTTTGTGCAAAACAGGACACAGTTGTTAAAATCATCGACTGTAAATTAAGCTTTTATCATCATGTACCACAAAAAAAAAATTTTAAAAATCTACGTTTCGTATATTTTTTAGATATTTTACTTGATGAATCACAGTTTAACATTCTATTGAGATTTTGAGACCTTATTTCTGATGTAACATAAAGAAATAATCATTTGAAATACCGCATCCCTTTGCATTATCTACTTGCAGGGGTTATGGTTTCCCGCATAAACAATAACCATAAGAAGCGCCTAACCACCAATTCGGGATAACATCCCAACTTTATGTGATATGGTCGTACCATCTATGATATCGTTAGTGTATGGTATCCGTTTATTAGGGTTGTTTACCATGGGGTGCATTTTACCCCAATGTTGTGGTGCGTTTTGGCCATTGTTGTCGTGCGTCTTGTCCCAATGTTGTGGTGCATATTGCATCATGAATCAGGCGTTTTGCCCCGCTATCATTTTGGAAGCAATTTAGAAAATACCTTGAAAGTCATGGAAAATCATCCTTTTGTAGTTCTAAATCACTCGATCTTTGTAGAAAACATGGTAATGAACCAAACGCCATTACTTTCTTCTTGATTTTAGCTTCCATTCGCCAGCCATTGACGATTTTGCTTAAAGGGTGCATTTTGCACCATCCTACCCTATTCGCATGACATAAGTGGTAAAAATTTTAATACTAAAAAATAATACAAAAGAAATGTTCGCACAATACAATTCCAAAACCAAATTAAGCAAACGCAATACCAAAACAGGTATTCTTTTGGTATCCATATACAATTTTTGTTAGTTATAAATTATTTTGCATACCTTTTTTAGGTATTATTCTTTGGTATTTTATCTCTTACGTCGATAGGAAGGGTCCAGGCAGCGTTTCCAGATAGTTTTAAAGCTTATCGGTATCGAAGGTATTAAAAAAATCGGTATTTATCGGTATTTATCGGTATTTACTATTTAAGTAATTTTATATTTTTGCCGTTTTTGAAAGCAAAATTTTTAACAATGGTGACGACGTGGATTTGAAAGGAATGGAAATGTTTAACGGCTTTCTCAGTCTAAAAACACTCTGTAATTTTTTAATTTAATTTTTAAAATTATCGTTGTCCTCAAATGGTGATCGAAATTGTGACCAAGTTGTTTTTTTTTCAATTAAATATCATTAAATGAAACCAAAATATGGAAAATCAGCCGCACAACGACTAAACTGTTGACAATAACGTCAAACAATATTTTCCCTTGAAAAAGGCCACAACCCATGGCCGAAATGTCGAGCCGATTACATCGTAGTCGTTGCAGTGTTTTAAGACTGAGAAAGCCGTTAATCAAAGCAAATTTTTTGGTATTGAACTATGATCGAAAAATTCCGGTAGAAAACTCCGGGGAATGGTTGAATTAGCTTCTGAACGAAGCTGACAAAACATCCAGAGAAAGACGAAAGAAGCTCTCCTGGATAAAGTTCGAGTAAAGTTCTAAGATATGTTAGAAAAACATCCGGGAAACATCCAAGACACGAATTGAGAAACTTGTGGCGAGAAAAGGAATCCAGAAAAGTTTTGGAAATCGGAAGTAAATTTTTAAAAGTAGCCATTTCCAGGAAAAGCCAGAAGAAGCTCGGAAAAACCTTCCAATAGAAGTCGAACAAAAAAACCTTTGGCTTATGGTCAAACTTCCAGAAGAAGACGAAAGACATTTCTGGGGGAATTAATTGAACTTCCTGGAGAAGACGACAGAAACTTCCTAGAGACGCTGGCAGAAACTTACTAAGGTAGATTGGAAGAAACGTCTGAAGAAAGTCAGGAGCCAGAGCGCTTACGGAACAGTCGAAAGAAACAAGTACATAATTCATAAAACATCCCTGAAGACTTCGCAATTTCCCTCAAGTTTTCGGAAAATTCCTGAAATGCAGTTAGGAATATTCCATAATTTCTCGAAATTTCTTAAAAGTTCTTGTAACTTTCCTGAAATCAGGGACTGTGACTACCGGAATATCTCTAATCATCTTTGAAGGTCTCTGGACTTTCTTGAAGATTACGAAATCTCTTAAGTGCTCTCACAAATTTCTCGAATTTATTGTAACATCAGCATTGAAGCTCTCTGATCTTCCCGATTTTTTATTTTTTTGAAAGTTATCGACACTTCCCATAAAATGTTCTCGCAATGTTCTACTGTTCATGTAACTTCCCTTACGTTTCCTAAATTTTCATGAGCCCCTCAGGAGATTGCTGAAGTTTTCGGACATTGCCTGCGTTTCTTGGAACTCCTTTATAATTTCAGCAATGTTATTGAAATTTATTGATCTGTCTTGATGTTCTCTGAGCTGCACTAAAGTTCCTGAAAACCGTTAAATTTCCCTGAAATTCTTTGGACTTGTGAAGATTCCAAAATATTTATGATGTTTTCATAAGTTCACTGGAGTTCGCTGGACTTTTCTGAAATTTCCGGGTTTTCGAATTGTAACAGAAGTTTTTGAAACTGTCTTTAATTTATTGAAACTAACACAAAAGTCTGGACTTTTCGGATCCTTCAGAACTTCTTAAATGTTCCTGCAGCTAGTGTGAATTTGCAATAAACATATGATAGCATCCTTGAAGTTCCGGAAAAGTTGAAAAAACTGGCGGGAGAAGATGAAAGAATTATTCGAGCGAAGGCTGAAGAAGCTTCCAAGGTAAGGTGGAAGAAAATATCAGTTGGATGAAACTTCAGGAAGTTAAAAAATTAATAAAAACTTCCGGAAGTTAAATAATGTTTAAAAAATATTTCTCGGTTCCCTAGGAATCACCGAAAAGTGCCATCGACTATTTCTTGTTTGATGGGTAGCCCAATCAAAAGGAGGAAATGCAAACATTAGTCAAAAGAGTATCAAGCAGAAGACATCTTTAGAGATGATTTTTTAGAATTTTGAAGGCTCAAAAAATATGAGGTATACAAGATACAAGTCTCATGGTCACAATGCACAACGTTATAGTGCTGGTGACAAATCTCTGATGAAACAACTTCATTGACCCTTCTTGATCCTTCCTAAAAAAAATACCCTTTTTATCCTCGAGTAATTGGACCACCTCTTGTAAACTGTTACTCCACGTTCGCTGCACTGCAGCATACATAAGTAGCAATTTCAGATTTGTGTAATTGAAAATTCGAAGTGATAGCGCATGTATAGCCTTCGTGGCGGCCATTTGTGGACTTCACAAGGAATTACCTTAAGAAATGAAATTTTTGCTCCATTCTGATGCTGAGAACTACCGGGGTGTATCGATTCAGTCCGCGATGACAAAACTGTTCGAGCGACTTGTCTACTCCCATCTCTATGAGAGAATTAACGAGCGTGTTTCAGCAACACAACATGGGTTCTTGAATGGAAAGTCAGTCGTCACGAACCTATATGAACCTGTATGAGTTCAGTTCCATGGTCACGGACTACATATCCAAAGGGTACCAAGTCGACTGTGTATATACGAACACGAGCAAGGCCTTTGATGCGAGGGGTATAGATAGTATCATGCGATAATGTTTGACTACAGGTTGGGACATTCGTCCTTACAATGGGTAGAGAATGACGATGGATCAATCCTTAACATTTAATGATCTCTCTTTGCTCTCACTCGACGTTTCGGTATAGAGTTTACTGATCCTCATGCAAGGAGATCTTGTTTTTCTTTTGCTGCGTATTTTTCGTAAGCGAATTAAACATTTTTTGATTTAAATTTGTTAAATTGTGTTCTAAAATTTAGTTTCAAATGTTCATAAAGTTATCATTTAGTGATATATCACGTTTTGCCTGTGTTTCCCTTGAGTGACTCGGGTGACCTTGAATCTAACCTCCAAAATCTATGACGCAGGTTCAGTTTCATTGTTCGGTGTCGGTTTTCATTGGTTCCCGGGAACCTGGTTTTCCGAGCTCGGATGCCATACTTTCGGCGTGTAGTTCTATTGAGAGATTCTTCATCGTGGGCGAGTTTGAAACCGGTCCGGTTGGTGAATTAGCCCGGGAACGTGATGATAATGTGTCGGTCGCGGGTTTTGGTGGTGATTCGGTGGCCGACGTTGCCATGAATCAGCAAGTTTTTCGCTTGCAAAAGTGATCGGTAATGAAAACAAATTTGTTTTCGTTGAAGGAAGTATTTCGACAAAGGTGCATCACGGAATGAGATGCAAAACTTAGATAAAATCAAAACTATGGAACCCATGGATGAAAGGATCAAATTAACATGGTGAGACCAGTCCAAATACTATTAAACAATTTAAAAAAAATACATAAACTAAATACGTGCCAGTGTTCAACAGAACATTTTGAAAACGGAAGTGTGGGTGTAATACTGATATCCAATTGATAGAGGTAATACATACATGCGGGGATTATTGTAAGTGAAAGTAACCTTGGAATGGACGTGACTCTCTAGACATTCTGAAATGGGTTGCTGGATCTGCAATAGAGCTATCACTTTCTAACTCCCGGACTAAAGCTGTCTACAATGACCATAAATGCAACATT